TGCAAACAAAGATCTACGTGCAGCTCAGACACCAAAGCCCCAAACAGTTCTCGTAGCCACATCCGTTCCAGCCACAGCCAGGCACCAGCTACGCTGCAGAGGCCACCCCGAGCAGATCTCATTTGAAACCACTTTTTTCAGAGCATAACCTCAGAAAAGAAAATGTGGTTTTTCTTTTATGTCGCAACCTAAAAACATCTGGCATTTAAAAAGTTCAGATTTCCTATGCATCACATGGAGATTTTGAACATCCTTYTTGGGATCCAGGGGTCCACCAAGGACAGGGCATTTGTGGTGGAGGGTGAGGTTCTTGTGTGTCAGGGATGTCTCCCTGCCCTGCAGTCCCTGTGCCAGACACCAGAGCAATTTAATGCTATCTGAACCCATCAGCACATGATTTTGCCACTTCTTTCCTTGTTTTCAGACCTCCCTCCTACCAGGAATCAGCAGAAGTTATTCTGTAGAAGGTTCAGACTTTCCATCTTCTCGTGGTAGCAATGAGGGTGCAGCACACAATACAAACAAGCATTTGTTGTTAACTGCAAGGAATAATTCATAGAAAGAAATTTTTTTCACAGATTGGAATTTTCATTCATTTTTTTATGATTACTGCATAGTGATTTGCAAATCTCACAAGTGTGACTGTGATGGTTATGATAYAAGGATTAAGTCCATAAAAGTATTTATCCTTCTTAAATAACTCTCTGTCCACTATAAATATTATTGACTGTTACATCCATTTACAACTAAGAATGGATTTAGACATATAACAATATAAAATCATTTTGAAAAATTTCTATTAAACTAAACTATCCCAGGAGAGAGAGTGGGTTCTCTCAAAAAAAAAAAAAAAATCCATCATCTGCTTCAGATGGTATTATTTATATTTCAAYTCCTGACACATCTAATGCCATTACTGCTCACTACAATCAACTTCAACCATAMCACTGCAACAAAACAAAATGCTGAAGAAAGAGATGTATCTTTGATGCCCCATAAGTAGGAATATCCTCACTTATAGTTTGTTTTGTGCACATCATTGCTTTTAGACCATAAGTAAACCCTTACCTCTGAAAGCARTTAAAACTTTGAGGGATAAAATTCTGTGAATAAAYACRTAGTGCTCTATATAGCTAACAAGGMACTCAAAATGCAGTAGTCGTTGCTGATCTGTGATCAAAGTGGAGATTCTCTGTGTRCACTTCATGAAGCTTCTGAGATGTTTGAAAAATCTTCCAAAGTTTGAAAACAAACAAATACATCTGAATTAAAAAAAAAAATCTGCATTGCAGCAGGTGAAAYGTTTTGTGCAGTGTGCCAACTTTAACATGGCTTCATCCACTAACAGAATACCAGAGGCAATATTCATAAGAAGAGAGGAAAAATAATTTCATTGCTCTGTGGCCTAAGCACACATTCATCCCTGAGGTCTTCTGCTGAATTAAATAGGCACTGAAAATTTTTAAAGATCTTATGAATTCAATTAAAGAGTAGTGAAGATGGCCTCAGAGGAAAGAAAAATCTCTGCATAATTATTAACACAGACATAGGTGTGTACCCTGCCTTCCTGTGACAGTGACAAAAATGCCCTCCTTATTAAATGGCAGTTTTGGCACATAMAAACAGCTGAGGAGCTTGTGTCCTCTCAAATCTCCAGTCTGAGGCATGTTCTGAACGCTGCCTCCAGTCCTGTCAGTCTTGAATGCTGAGTTTATACATGATTGACTCCTAAATGGTGTAAGATTGTGCTTAGTGTTATTGCTACCAGAAGCTTTCCTAATTTTAAAGCCTCTTTTGTTACACATTACAAAAATACAGGAATTCTCAGTAGGGAGCCTCCCTGCAGACACACATCAGATGTGGCTGACAAAAGCAAAAAACACAATGAAAGAAAAGGGATAAAGTACCAGACTCACCAAAAATTACTGCAGTAATTTCTCCCTCTTTGGAAAGTGTTTTATTTGTGCTCACCTCTCAGAAAGACACCTACAATTCTTTAGCTTGGGGAAAAAGAAAACCACTGCACAACCCATCACCTATTGTTAAAACCAGAGGTGTTAAAAGCTCTTTGAGGGTTTGAAGAGTGAAATAGTCTTTACAGCGTTTGCAGAATTGTACACAGAACACAGTTACTTTCATGTTCTCCATGTCCCAGCTTCTTAAAAATTAAGAAACCTTCACATGTTCTGCTCTTCCACAGAAGATTTAAAATGACTCATCTGTAATTGCAAAGAAAGATCCAGTCTACAAATACACTGACCCTCCTTAGKCATGGTGCTATCCAGGACTAACAGATTCAACTGGCTAAGAGATAATTTAAAAGTGAAACAAATTGCAAGGTAAGATTTCTAAAGATAATACAAAATAGAAACTGAAAACAACCTGGGACCTTAAAGATTAGCCATCAAGAAAAAAAAAAAAAAAAAAAAAAAAAAAAAAAAAAAAAAAAAAAAAAAAAAAAAAAAAAAAAAAAAAAAAAAAAAAAGGCAGGTGAGAGGCACAGAACCATTGCACAGACGAGTTCCAGAGAGACACCACAAAGATATGAGGTTTATAAAAATCCACTTGCACTTCCAGTGAACTCCACTCTATGTATAGGCAGATGCATTAGACTTTAAGAGGGAAACCATTAAAAAAGTAGGGCAGCAGTTTTATCTGAGAGAAACAAGTTAGAACAATCCTTTTGGGGATGTTTTCATTAAAACAGGCTGCCCCTTTTTATAGTTCAAGGCAAGACACACATTTCTTTAAAAGTTTATCTTACTAATTCTGAATACTCTAGCTTTGTCATTGGTAATTAAGTCACATAAAAATGCAACATATTGTCCCTGTGAGTTAAAAGATTTTCTTTCAGATCCRTAAGGTCAAACTCTGCTTCCAGCATAAGAAGTACCTTCTGTCTGTCTTTTGAAGCAGAAATGTTCCCTTTCTGGTGCTCCTAGGCTCTGAAAGATGAAGCCCCCTGACAGACACATATTTCAAGAAGAGAGATTACATCATAGAGCCAACATCAGAAATTATTCACCAAATAAAGTCATGAAATGAAAATCACAAATGGAAAGTGGCAATTTGACCACAGTTTTCTGTACTGCCCTAATCACGCTCACAAAATCTAGGGGCTGGCTAAAAACCACCTTCCTACAGATCTAAGATGAAGACTGCTTCTAATATCCTGCATAAAGCTGTTACATAAACCCACTGATGGAGCATCCCAGAGTCAGCCCACTCATTGCAGAAACCCAGGCAGGTAAAGGCTCACCGAGGAGAGCCCTGATCAAGGTGATGCACTGACATCTTCTTGTACACATGTGCCCCTCTGCCCTGCCTGCAGTGAGCTGATCCAAGGGAACTGTCACACCCCCTGCACAGGGATCGCTGTGACAGGAAAGGCTCCATGGGGAGGTGTGGGGACACCTCTGTTTTCCTGCAGGAGCAGGGGAACCACGCAGCATCAGACTGCACAGCCTGCTGGCACACAGGTGCTCAGGAAGAGATCGTGATTTCCCTTCCCCATTTCCCCGGGCAGATTTTGATTTAATGCTGAATAAAATACAGGCATTGCCCTGGGAGCTGGAACCAGCGCCAGGTGCCTGCACCTCTTGCATCTGGATATCACTGGTTTYCTGCACAGATCCAGACTGCTTAACATGCTGTACTAGCCTCTAAAGTTGAGTAGTAACTAGAAAATGCAAAAAAAACCCAAGTTCCAGTTGGAATAATTAATTTCTGCACCACCAGAAAGAGTTTCCTTCATTTTTATTTGGGAAAATGGTTTTATTCTGGGCAACAATAAAGCAGAGCTAGAACTATGGTTAACTCTAACAATGTATGTTGCTTTAACAGAGGGACAGTAATATATTCACCCTCGATGCCAAGCCATTAGYAGGTTGAACCTAGTTTATGGGCCTGAGATTTGTTTTTTCAAGCTTCCCTAAGCCACAGTCACAATACCCTTTCCTAAGGACAGCTGCAAAGGGATGTTACACTGAGATTTCATATCAACAGCAAAGAAAAGGCTCAGGTAGATGTCAAACTTCAGTGACAAGCAGTTGAAAAGGTAATCCAAGATGCTATAACTTATTAATGTCAAAGACTAAATACATAAAACAYTGCCACCACAAAAGGATTTCAGTCACATGCCTCCTGTGCTTCTCCCACCCCATATCCCAAGGCGAAGGAATAAAACCCCCAAACCACTATTAAGGGTTTGATTTCCAAGCAGGGTCAATCCAAATCCATAACATTCACAAATTCCAGCATCTTGTTAAATTATTTCCCTTGAACCACTGCTGCTACTGCAGATCCCACTTTTCCTCCATGCATCCTACAGGGGCCTCCAACTCCCAGCTAGGACAGATGGGAGGCCCCAGGTCAGGGCCATTAGCAGGGAGAGATGCAGAATCCACACCTACAATTCAATTTAAATCTGCTCAGCTCATGGCACAGGTATTTCTGAAGAGTAAATTAATTCAAGTGTTGTCCACTTCATGAGCCAAAACTTGAAATAAATGTTAGTATTGCTTTTACTACCTTTGATCATTTATTTTGGAAATAGCTTCACTTTTGATTTCTGAACTGAAAGCTTACAACGGTTTCTAATATTCCATTTGATGGAAATGATTCAAAAGAAACAGCACCAAAAATACTCTTTTTGGTTTTAAAGACTGCTTTAAAATGTTTTGTGTAGTCCAAGTACTTAGAGCACCTTTAAATTCCAGATCATAAGTTACTGAAGAGATACATAAACAGAATCCTTTTCATCTCTCAGTGTGAATGAGTTCTCTAGTATCTACACTGAGAAATGYTGATTATTAACATAATTTTTAAACATAATTGTTTTTAGACACACCCAGCTCCTAATTCTATCACCAAACTCTTTTCATTAATAGCATYTTTAAAAAGTAAGTCCAAGCACAGAATTAATTGGAAAGCKTTWATAGCTTATCCATATGTATACTCMATATCCTTAGCTGCAMAAAGRGATAGCATCATMATATTAAAGAAAAACAGRTATAAATCTAACTGTAAGAGCCATATAAACAAGTTCATCTAAGTCAAGAATTCCTATGAGCCTTGCTTTTATTCAAAAACTGTATTTTCTATACAGACTATTTGCTTTTAATATGGTAAGGTTTAGCTGTTAGTCATTCTAATCATTCATAYAGACATGTTAGTTTGAATACTAGTTGTAAACCTTTCAGGGTGACAAATGAAAGATGATAAACCCTTGATCAATATAATTTTATTTATTCAGAACAGAGGATATCACAGGCAACAACGCCGCCTAGGAGAACAAGGATTTCACATAAACTGTTTTGGCAGGAACACGCATTTAAATAATCATCCAAATCACCACCTCACTATCTTGATCTTAAAAAAATAAAAATCAAAATAAAATAAACAAACCACAAAAAAAACCAAACAAAAAAAAAGAAAAAAACAGAGAAAAAAAAAACATAACAGACAAACAAACAGCCCAGAATTTTTATTTAATGTCTATGCCAGCCACATCTGTCCCTGATTTTAGAAGTCATAATACTTAGCAGTGACAATGGCACCTTTCATTCGCAAACACGTTATTAACATGAACTGACTGCAATTATACCACAATACCTCACCACAGCTAATCAACACGACTGCCTGGTCCTCCCTCAGCCTGGGGAAGTGCTGATTTAAGTTGTGCCCTCTKTTTGACAGTGTCTCCATTCTGCAAAGTACTGCCCACAGAAGTGAATTTAGCATGAAGTGACTGRCCAAACTACAGCACATCATCAAGCAGGTTTCTCCACTCAGTGCTAATATTTTCTTTTATAATCCAAGAAGATCTGACCAGACCAGGATGCAATTCAATGTAAGCCATTTGGAGTGAAAGGTGTTATCTTGCCTAGCGAAATCTCCCCCTCACAGTCCAGTTCACAGGCAGAGTCAGTGGCAACCTCATGGTCAGGGGAGATCTGGGACATCCTATCAAAAGGGTCCTCGCGATTTTCCTCACAGTCAACCACATTTGGGATCATGTTAACATAAGCAGTCACTATCTCCTTATGGTAAAGGGTGTCCTGGTTGTAAGAGATAAGCTCATTGCTTATGTTAACAGTCTCCACTGGAGTACCAGAGCAAAAGTGACCACATCCCAGGAGGTTGGAGAAAACCTTTCTAAAGTCAGCATTGAAGGCATAGATGATGGGGTTAAGAGAAGAGTTGGCCCAACCAAACCAGACAAAAATATTAAAGGTGGTCTCACTGACGCAGGGGAGGCCAGCRTGGGGGTCGCTGGGTGGGCTCTCGCAGAAGGGAACCATGCAGTTCAGGATGAAAAAAGGCAACCAGCAGCAGACAAAGACACCCATGATGACAGAGAGCGTCTTCAACACCTTGGTTTCYTTCCTGATGGAGGACTTGAGGCTTGTGTGATGGTGGCAGTCCATGTGGCTGCTGCGGCAGCTCTGTGCATGCTCGGCTGCCCTCTCCAAGGAAGAGATACGACGAATCTGCACCTGGGCAATGCGGTAGATTCGAGTGTAGGTAACTATCATGATAGCCACCGGGATATAAAAACTGATCAGGGAGGAGGAAATGGCATAAGTCCTGTTGAGGCTGGAGTCACAACTCTCCGATGGTCCGGTGAGGGTATCATTGCTGCCAGAGGTCCCATCAGAGGGTCCCACTGCTGCTAATGCCACCCATGTGGTACTCATATCTTCCGCCCAGGTGGTGACAGCACCTGCTGCTGCCCAGGCAGTGTCAAATCCATCTCCAATATCATCAGCAGCAACAACATCCCCACCTTTGTGCCAGTTGAGCTGGACAGGGATGAAGGAGATGAGCACAGACAGAGCCCATGCCACGCTGATCATCACCAGAGCCAGCCGCTGGGTCATCTTCCTCTCGTAGCGGAAAGGGCTGGAGATAGCCCAGTACCTGTCCACACTGATCACGCACAGGTTGAGGATGGAGGCCGTGGAGCACATGATATCAAAGGCCACCCAGACGTTGCAGAAAGCCCCAAAGGGCCAGTACCCGGCTACCTCTGCCACCGCCTTCCAGGGCATGACCAGCAGGGCCACCAGCAGGTCCGAGACGGCCAGGGACACGATGAAGATGTTGGTGACCTTGCTCCGCAGGTGCCGGTAGCGGACGATGGCCGCGCACACCAGCACGTTCCCAAAGAGCGTCCAGAGGATGAGCAGCGCCAGCAGGCTGCCCGCCGCCACCTGCGCCGCGCCGGGGGCACCCGCCGGTCCCCGCACCTCGCCGGGGGTCCCCGCCGCCGGCGGCAGTGGGCTCCGGCCGCCCCGCAGCATCGCTGGCGGCT